GGAATCCTAGGTGCTGCAGTTTCCTTTTTTGTCTTTTCCTTTCGTATCCAAACGCATCACTGCCTCTGCCGTCTCGTAATCAAACTTGATGTTTATCATTCGGTCAAGGTGGTTGCAGAAAAGGGACTGTCTAGATTGCGAAAAACGAACGAGAAGTGCAGGTGGGGGATTCCGGGCTTAGCACTCGCCCAAGTACTTGCTCTTTGGCCATCTGCAACACGCCAAAAGCCAACGGCATTGTCAGCACTCTTTTCTGTACGGCATAGGCCAAGCCAACAAATGCGCGATACTCACCCGTACTTGTCCTGCGGAAAGACGGTATAGTTGTTGTTCATGTAGACGTCGAGGTGGTCCTGGATGTACTTTGCGGTGGGGTGGTCTGGGGGATCGCACGAGATGCGATCCGGCTGGCCGTCGCGCTGATACACACGCACATAGTCGATCTTCATGACGGCGGGGAACTGGACCTGATTCCACTTGACCGCCTGGAAGCCGTCGGACATGGCGAGGTTGATGATGATCGACACCGGCTCGGTCGGGATGAGTCGTTGGCCGATCTCGGTGTACGGATTGGGACCGAGCGCGTGCCCTGTGACGGACCAAGTGGGTTTGCCATCGACAAACCACGTGATGCTGCCGGAACCATCGCCGTCCCAGTCGGGATCCCACTGCATGCCAAAGCGCACGGGGATCCCGCCCGATTGATCGTACGCCGTGTCGGGCACTCGTGCGATGGCTGAGACGGCTTCCTGGTAGATGCCGCCCGTGTAGGTGTTGAAAGTGGCATCGGGCGAGTAGAGATGCGCTACCTCGGGCGCTTGGCTCCACGAGTAATTCGCATCGAATGGTGCGATCTGGAATGACTGGGATGCACTGCCGTGGCCCATGTAGGTCTGCGCTTCGAAGACGTCGATCTCGGGAGAAGAGCGTCCAATGTCGTGCGATGGACCGGGGTGGTCTTCGCCGGGACACGTGCATGCCGACGTGCGCTGGCCTTCGAGATAGCTGATCTTCTTTCCCGGGCCGTTTTGGTCGTAGGGCGTGTAGGTGTGCAGTGCCGAGTGGGGTGCGGTCTTTTCCGGGTTGGTCTGGTTGGCAAGCGTGCCTACGTCGCAATGGTTGTAGCTGTACGGCCACATTCCCTGTGTCGTACCTGCGTAGCCTGCACGGCCGAGGTTGCCGAGCGTCCAGACGGCGGGCCAGAAGCCCTCGGTATCGTGCGACCCAGGCAGCACGGCCGACGTCTCGAGGTAGCCGCCCTGGAAGCAGAACTTATTCCAGGACTGCAGCATACCCGAGCGGAAGTTGAGGTTGTGCGTCTCGTGTTCCTGCATCCAGACGTTCAAAAAGCCGCTCGAGGTGTTGACCGCCTCGGGCGAGTACCATTCAAAGTCACCCGTGACCCAGTAGTGCAGATCCACCGCTTCCCAGAACGGATCGTCGCCCGGCCAGAACGTGCGTCCGTCCTGGTTGAACTCGTCGCTGAATACTAGGTGGAATCCTCCGCCATCGATGGGGTGCTTCCAGCTGTACGCCTTCTCGGGGGTATCTTGATCGATCAACGAGAAGAGGCCGGGCAGCAGCGGCACCTGGCCCGTACCATTGGTGCCGCCCAGTCCGAAGAAGGTCTTGGCCTTGCGGTCCGCATCGGCCTTGCGGAAGAATTGCAGGATGGGATAGCCGGCAAAGAGCATCATGAGCGAGCACGAGATGAGCGCGAGCGTCGCCAAGTTGAGGAATCCGAGGAAGCTGATGTTGCAGCATCCGCACAGTCGTTCCGAGATCTTCTTTTTGCGCTCTACGCCGGGCACATGCAGCCAGTCATCCGCCTCAGCAGAGCCATCGTAGTCGTAGAGCCAGGCCACTGCCCGGAACTTGTCCTGCGAGGTGTGGGTCTGGCTGCTGGCAGGTGGTCGCGAGTAGGCCGACGATGATGCATCCGAGTACGTGTCGCCATGCGGCCCCGATGGGAAGGGCAAGTGGCCGGCTGCGTGTTCAGTAGTATGGTGTAGTGGATGTGCGCTACCGTTGGAGCTGTCGGTATCGGAAAACGAGCCGCGGTGCACGGGTCCACCAGCCGGGGCCATGGTGGCGACGTGCAAAGTTGGCTGATGCGAATCCTCGTCGTTGCGCCCGCCAGCGTAGTAGCCCGCTTGTGCCGCCATCGCCAGTCGTCGAATCTGACCGCTGTTGCAGTCGTGCTCGACAGTAAGCCGATGACAGATATAGCTAGGGGAATGAAAGACCGAGCATGGCAGAAGCTTCAAGGGTCCCTTGACTTTCTTCACCGTGTGCCGTCAAAGACACCCACCAAATGTGGGAAGCAGCCTCCTAAGAATCAACAATGGGCGCAGCATCTCTCTGCATATTGGTTCGCGTGGCTGACAGAGTGCGACGCCAGTACAGCCTTGTGGCACGCACCCAATGCGTGGCGCCACATGAGCTCAAAAGTGGCAGCACCCACCTTGGCCCCCTCGGATGCCATGGCGGACTTGTTTGCATCCACGTAATCTCATGGCGAGGTGGGTTGGTCCGAGATGATCATGCAGAGGCGCGTGCATTTCGAGCGCGCGTAGATTCTCTTGCCAGGCAAAGGCGGTCTTGGAACCACCGCCAAGAGAGAGTCTGAGACTAGCTGTGATGCACGGTCCCACTAGGAGATGTAATGAAACTGCAGCGAGCAGGTATTCGCAAGTCTCACGACTCCTTCAAGTCGACCATGCGATCGACGCCAGCACGCGATCACAATCCGAGGGAGGGAGAAGAGGTGCGCCAGGTTTGGTCTGCAAATGTGGCAAAGAAGGTTGGCAGCAGCGTTGATGGAGAAAGGGTAGAGTACAAGGAGAAGCTGCATGGGAATGAGCGTGTGCACCAGGCTTGACAGTGATCAGTCGTTCCTGGCTCGCTTGGTGTGATGTGTGCGGTGGCGTGGATCTTGGTCATAGCCTTGTTCGGTTTCCAGTAGTTCTCGCTCGACGGATATCGGCCTTGGCCTCTTGACGGCAGCGCCTGCCGAAGATGCGACTGCTGCTGGTGGCGGCAGGGGCGGTGTGGACTCGCGATATGCGTGGTGTGCTTCGTGACGGAAAGGCGGAGATTGCTGGTCGTATGCACGCGCTCGATGCGCCACAGGAGGAGATTGCGAGGTGGGACGGCGGTAGGATGCAGGCGCATACGGATCGCGAGGCAGTGCACGCGGAGGCGAGGTGGTCTCGGACGCGGGATACGCGTCGCCTCTTTGAGAGGATGCGCTGCCGGCTACGGCATGTGGTGGATGCGGAGGTGGCGAGGCGTACCTTGTGCGGTCGGTCGATTCGTATGCCGCATACGACACTTGGTCTGCATACCGCGCCGAGTAGGGCCTGTAGTCGTCAGCGGCAGCAGCAGCATGGAAGCGCGAGTCATACGCGCCACGGTCGCGCTTCGCATCCCTGCTGCCGAGTGAACTTGCGTGTTGTCTGGCAGCTGCAGCAGCAGCTACTGCGGCGGCTGCTTCGCGCTCGAGCTCGAGCGCACGGTCGCGATGCGCCTGTTCGATGCGAACGCGCTGCGCCTGCTTGGACGCGATGGCATCCAGAAGAAAGTCGAGCTCCTCGCGTAGCTTCTGCTGCTTGAGCGCGGCCTTGCCCACGTTGGCTACCAGGTCGGTGTGGTCGGTGGAGACGCGGTCGTACTTGTCCTTGGACTTGAGGAAGAGCGACTTGTAGTCGGTCGAAGGATTGGCTCCGCGCGGCTTTCTCGCCGAGGGTGTCGAGGCGGAAGCACCTGCAGTCTCGGCCATGGTGGATGGTTGTGCAGCGGGATGGCTGTGCAGCCTGAGACTCGGAGCGCCTTTCCTGTGATGGTCGCTGCTGCTGCGCAACGGACGATGATGCTGCTGAAGCAAGGTTGCAGACGTCGATCGGCCTTACCAGGGTCTTCTGCGACTGCCCTGGCGCACGGTTCCGACGCGCGCGAAGAAAAAGACTGTATGTTAGCCCGACGTTCCTTTCGGGTAGATAAAATTCAAAGTAGTGATTGAATGTTAGCCGCGTCCGCCGTTGCGCCGCAGCTACAGGCTTAGGCGCGCCAACCGGAGCAGGCGGCGACATAGGCCAACGAGCGATCCCAACACGAGACAATGCTAGTGTTGCGAGCAAGCATGTCGATTGGCATTTCACGGCATTTCACTGGCATTTGTATACGGTGCGGGTGGGGGTGGTGCTGGCGAAGTATCGGGCGCTTGTAAACCTGGCTGGAGCTCGATCCCGACGCAATTGCGAGCGCTCGCTTCGCCTAAAGCGGCATTGATGCCGGTGGGCGGGGCCGACAAAGTAGAGTGACCGAGCAGATTGAACGCGCGCCTGTGAAAGCGACTGTACAGTGTCGAGCAGGTAATCGAGGAGGAGAGAACGGATAGGCGGCTTCCAGAATGACCAAGGTCGGCCGTGCGGCTGTAGGAATTTGCCGCCGAACAGCGGCTCTTTGGAGCTGTGGTGATGGTCAAAAGACTACGCACAGAGAAGCCAGGCTGTTCTACCAAAGAGAGCTGAGCCAGCAAAGCTCAGCAAGACACGGTCGCGTAGCATGCATGGCGTGCATGGCGTGCATGTGGCAGGGTGATCATCTCGGCCCACCTCGTGCGCCGGCGCAAGGGAGCAAAACGCAAACACTCGAGCTCATCCTCAAGCACTTCATCAAGCTCGCCGATGCCAAAGTCGTCGAGGTCCAGTCCAAGGCCGACGCCGCCGTGAGCGAGGCAGACTCGCACGTATCGTTATGGTCTCGGACAGCCACCTCTGCTGCGCCCGGCCACAATGGACACCAACAAGCTCGTCCAGATGCAG